ACATCAAACAAGTAGCACATTATTCACATACAGGAGGTACGTAATATATGTTACTCCCTGTGGAGGTATCTGAGTGACTTTGTTTTGCCTACTTCCTTTAGGATTGCAACCTGAAAAGATTGATTCTTTATTATTTTCCTTTCTGCTAATTTGAAGAAAAAAGTTTGTCTACTGTTAAAGAAGACTCAGGGGTTGGAATTCATCTACCTATATCCCTATTTCCTGCTTGATTGGAGAGGAAATCAGGGCTCCTGTCTTTCGGGCTCCTGAGGAGGGTATGGAATGTTGTTGTTTTAGAGAACCCTGTACTCCTGTAGGTTCTGGGGTTCTCTTCTGTGCTCAGGTAACATCCAAAACAAAGATGCATTGAACTGACATTTTGGAGAAAAGGCACAGAGGATGGTAAACGGGAAGAAATCATTCATTCATTAAGTTATAAACTCACTCATTCATTCAACAAACATGTTTTGAACTCCTCATCAGGGCCAATCTCTGTGCTAAGTGCTATTGATTTTGAGATGAATCAGAAATAACAGCCATATCTGCAATTAGTATTTAGAGCAATTCATGCATCCTGGAGTTGCTGACAAAGACTTCAAAGAGGAAATGTCATGTGAACTGGGCCTTACTTTTCTACATAAGAATTCATTATATAGAAAAAGTATGGGAAAGGCCATTAAAGATAAATCAACACTTTAAAAAGGCAGGAGGGCTTTTGAGAAGATAATGCATTCAGGGAAAGCCTCACAGCGTCACATGGGGAGTTCACAATCTATATTGGCTGGTGTGTCTAAATTATTTACTCTAGTTGTTAATCTCTTAAAGTTAACTCATGAATATATTAATTTATTCAATCCATAATCATTCTTGAGCACTTCCTTCATGCAAGGCTCTGGATAGATCCTGCAGAACCAAATATGAGTAATATACAGACCTGCTCTCATGTAGTGCTCAGTCTAATGCAGTCAAATGGATATAATGAAAATTGGGCTATTATAGAAAAGTATGTATACTATGATTGAGTGTGTGTGCTCACTCATCCACATGTACACACTCATCTGAATCTGATGATGTGAGTTACAGGTCCTCTTCAGTCACCAGGAAGGATCCAGGATGATGGCTTGTTCCAAGAGCTGGGCCAGCCTGTAGTCACTGAGTTCTGAGAGCACACAGGTCTTAGACTCTTCCTGAATCTCTGGCGGGATCAGGTATTATGGACTATTTCCTTCCCAGAGTCTTCAGTGGAGTCATGGATTCTTGACCCTATCCTGCCTTATTTTTATGCTATCATAGGGATAATAGGAATAGCTTCAGAGGATTGTTGTGAGAATTAAAGGAGTTAATGCATTATAAAATACTTAGAATGGCCTAGCACATGGTCAGTGAATAATATAATTCCTAATATACATATTAAGAATTATTATTATTATTATCATTATTGCTTTCATTGGTATCTCAGACTATCTGTGTTAAATGAGATCAGAAGGCTGCCTTGTCTAACCTCGCACCAAGTACAGGAACTTTCTTTATGAGATCCCTTGAAGCTTCCCACACTTGTCCTCCCCTGTGATGTGGACCTTTAGGCTTTCCCTTCAGCCCAGTGTTAAAGAGTCTTGACTTCATGCTGAGTTAAGATTTGGCCCCTGTGATTCCTACCATTTATCTTAGGAGATGAGTCTTCTTTTTCTTTTACCATTGCTTTTTAGAATAAGCAAGTATTATTTGACACCTCTCTGTACCACTGCTAGCGAGAGAAGGAAAAGGTGACATTGTTCCTGTATTCAAGAATCCTACCTTTTCTTTGAAGAAACTTCCATTTACTTTTGTTGCTCATTGTTAAGAAACAAACCAGGTGATAAGACATGTTTAAATATATGTCAAAGTAGAGAAAATTAATGGAGAATGAATAGTCAGAGAAGGCTTCTGAGGAGGTATGTTAAAGGATAGGCATTTATTTATACACTCGTTTGTTTATTAATCAATTAGTTAATTTAAAAATATTTAAACCTTTATTGACAATCTATAATATGCCACATCTGTGAGTCAGAGTTTACCAAGTAATTAAGATGGCAGGACAGGCAGTCCAAGGTGAGGAAATACCAAATACAAAGACACAGAGGTATTGGAGGTATGACACAAAGTTGTGTTAGGGACTTAATTTGCTCATATAAATAAAATATAGGCACAAGGATGGAGAAATGGCTGTTGATTCTGGGATTACAGGGTGATCTTGGGGAGTGTTGTGGGCCAAACTGCAATGTGAGGAAGTGGAGTTGTTTGGAGAGTTTTAGGGCGAGTACTGCACGATCAGATTTTTCTGGAAGCAGGAGGTAAAACTCTGAGTCGGGTGGTAAGGGGAGAAAGGTAAGTGACAAGATGCTACAGGGACCTTGAGCACAGACTTCAGAGTTGCACTAGCCCAGTGGTCAGCAAACTGCAGCTCGCGAGCCACATGCGGCTCTTTGGCCCCTTGAGTGTGGCCACGAAGTTTCAGTGGCACTGTACGTGCGTGCCCGCACGTGGTATTTTGTGGAAGAGCCACACTCAAGGGGCCGCAGTTTGCCGACCACTGCACTAGCCTATGTCTGCTACAGACTCTGCTGCTTACTAACATTGCAACCCCCGGGGAATTTTACCTCTCTGAGCTTCTATTTTCTCAGCTGTGTAAAATGAATGTTAATAGCCCCTAGCTCAGAGAGTTATTGCAATGATTAAATGATAATGCATATAAAACATTTAACACCATGCCTGAGACAGTGAAACTATAAAAACCAAAATAAGAGAAAACCAGAAGTGCATTCCAAATGAGAGAAACATTTCTCCCACACACTCCCATTCCTCTTTTCCTTTATTCTTTGCATTACTAGTACTTGAAAGCCCTCATGAATTTGTCCTGCTGAGCCCTTCTCAAATAGATTTTTGTTTGTATCTGTAGCAGGGTCTGGAAAATCTAAGCCCTGAGCAACATCTCAGCTTCCTTGAATGATTACCCCAGGGCCCATTACCTTCACTCTGTCTGCAAATCGGGTTAGGCATCCGACCCACTCAGGAGGGAAGCTGTGACAGCTGTAGGCATTAGATGAATTCTCCTGATAGCACATAATCAAATTTGGTGGGTATGGCAGGCTCTCAGAGTCAAGTTACTAAACTTGGCTAGAATAGGAGAAAACTGAGATGATTAGATTTAAAGCATGGGCCCTTATCAGATATACTAGTAAATGAAGAGTTGAAAAGATCAGCATCATAACCTGAGGGACCTATGACTGAAGGAATCACTTGGGGATGAAGGCATGCTCACCTTGTGCTCTAGGAGGCTCAGACTCACACCTCTGAGTCAGGGCCTGAAGTGACTATCACAGAACTTTGGCTGGAGACCTCAAAGCCACTTTCACTAGCATTCTCCCTGCATACAACTCTGAAACCCTGAGACTAGCTTATTCCAGCAACCTCATATTCCTGCACATTCAATCACATTACAAATGTAGACCATCATCTATCCTCTCTGTCTGTTCTCTCTCCAGCTTACTTCTCTGACCAAAACTTTCCACTTTCTCCTTTGAGGCAGCTCTATGGTTAATCATCTCACTTAAAAAAAAATTTTATTGATTAAGGTATTACAAATGTGTCTTTATCCCCTCCCCCCGCAGTCTTGCTCTCACCCTCACCCCCTGTTGTCTGCATCCATCGCTTATGCTTATATGCATGCATACAAGTCCTTTGGGTGATCTCTCCCCATTTCCCCAACCCTCCCCTACCTTCCCTCTGAGGTTTGAGCATCTGATTGATGCTTCTCTGTCTCAACCTCATGCCTGGTGCCCTCCTCCTCACACTTTCCTCCATATGTTTCTGTGCTTCTTGGCTTCTCAGTTGAATGCTAAGCCATTCCAGGTGAACCTCACAACTCCCATCCACTGTGCCAGAACCCCTCGTCCCCCCAAAAAAACAAACAAACAAAAAACGTGTTTGTCCTCAAGGATCTTCCAAACTGATCCTAATGGATAAGACTTAGGAAGCAGTCAATAAAAGAGCAAGTTACTACAAAATGTGGGAGCTGAACTGGCCTCAAATTGTCAATGGATGATCCTGGAAAAGGCACAGTTTGTGAGGGATTTTGTACGATTAACAGGATTTGAAGGGACAGAAATGAGAGGCCTTCTTTGTACGTGTGAATGCTTTCAATGTCATACAGCGTGGCGGGGTGTAGTGAACCTGTGAGGTGGGAGAATATAAAGAAGTTATAGGAATTAGGACTGGAACATTTTGCCTTTTCTCGTGTATGGTTTTAGTATTCCTTTTTGGAGAATGAGCATGATGGCTTAGCAAAATTGCCTGCACAGCATATTTTAAAGCAGAATTTCCCAAAGTGCTTCTGTAGAAAACTAATCTCGTGAAATGTTCTGTAGAAAAATAATAGTAATAATCTAAAGAAGTGTTGAATAATTTCTCCTCCCTTGAATATTCACAATGCACATGCTTTTGAGCGGTCTGAAATAGTCTTGTAATACAAAGAGCTGACTTTCCTAGAAAAAGCAGGCATCCCGTATTTATGTCATTATACTATCACACTCTTTATTTCCCCTCAAAGCATTTTTAGAGTCTATGACTATTTTGTATACTTAGTTTTAGTATTTTATTGAGTGCTTCCCACTATAGGATCTACTCCATGAGGACAACACCTTGCCTATCTTATTTACCCTCACACATCAAGAGTCTAGCGTGATGCCTGGGCATATAAAAGGTGCTCACAATAAGAATAAACAATGAATACAACTTGCTCAGCTTTCTGTAACATGGCATTGTCCAAGCAGCTGACAAAGGGTAGGGCTGGAATTTGAAGAGTGCTGCCAGATTCCAGTTTCTTGGCGACCACAGGTGGTGTGAGCTGTTGCCCCTGGGGTCTTGATGTTACAGTTTTTCTTGGGCATTTATTTCTGCTTATTCCCGTTTGAAGCTAGAACGATTGTCTGAAATACCCAAATGTCTTTCTTTGTATCTTTCAGGCAAAGGCTGCCACCTAAAAATGTTTATTACTACCGTTGCCCGGACCATAGGAAGAATTATGTGATGTCCTTTGCATTTTGTTTTGACCGAGAAGAAGATGTTTACCAATTTGCCTACTGCTACCCATATACATACACCCGCTTTCAGCATTACCTTGACAGCCTGCAGAAGAGAAACATGGATTATTTCTTTCGGGAGCAGCTGGGCCAGAGCGTGGTAAGGCCCATTCAGAGACAGACAGCTGTGGGGAGAGCATGCAGTGGGTTTTCATAGAATGCAAATAATGGGTACTGGTGCTCTGTGGAACTTTAAAAAATTGTTGTTTTTAATGCGTAATTCATTGCTACAATATGGCCACCAGGAAGCTACAGAATAAGGTATAAGACAGATGTGTATCCTTTTGAATGAAGCCGATAAAGATCTCTCACAAAATACAGACGTTTTGCTAATTTCCAGAAACTCTGAGAAAAAGAAAATGCTTCTACTGGGTGACACAAAGGGCATGGGAGCATTTTATGAGTGTGAGCCTCTGAGATGAAGAGCTGATTTGTTTTTTAGTGAATTTAACTTGCCCACAGTGCAGGTTCTCAAGTGGTGCACAGTTTGGATGTACTGCCCGCAATGTGTTCTGACTCCGCCGTCCGTCAGTTCCCAGCCCCTCTTCCTTCCCCTGGTAGTTTCCAGGTCTGGACATTTCAGTCATACACTCTGTATCAGTTTTCTGTTGCTGATGTAACAAGTTGCCATAAACTTGGTGGCTTAAAACAACACCAATTTATTATCTTACAGTTTAGGATAAACTTGGTCACACTGGCCTAAAACCAGGATATCAGCAGGTCTGCATTCCTTCTACAGGCTCTTGGGGAAAATTCATTTTCCTGCCTTTTCTAGTTTCAAGAAAAGGGGTGGGGAATGTACAGCTCAGGCTGTATAAGGCCCACAAAATCATTTGGTCTGGCCCTGCCAAGGCAACCACAGGATGGACTCAAAATTCATGAATGTAGAAGCTTTTTTTCATAGCAATATAAATTTATATTAAGTTCATTATATTTAGCAAAGGATGTGACGAGTATCCAAATGGCCCGTGGCAGAACAAAGGTTCCCCACCCCTGTTCTAGAGTCTGCTTGCATTCCTTGGCTTGTGGTTCCCCTCCATCTTCTGGGCCAGCAATGGTGGCTTGAGTCTTTCTCATGCTGCATCACTCTGACACCAAATTTCCTGCCTCCCTCTTTCACTTCTAAGGACCTTGTGATTTATATTAGGCTCACCCACATAATCTGGAAGAGTATGTCCATCTCAGGATCTTTAACTTAATCATGTCTATGAAGACCCTTTTTTCATGTAAGATAACATATTCAGAGGTTCGAGGGATTAAGATTTGGACATTTTAGGAGGAGGGTGCATTGTTCTGTCTACCACACTTTTCTCCTCTCCTTTCCTCTTTCCCTCCCTGCACAGCCCAGGGTCTGAAATTGTTCTTCACATTGGATGCATAGGTTTTGGTCTCTGTAATCAGCAATACTTTGATTACTAGTAAAGAATAAGAAATGATAATTTGGTTTTACATTTCACTCTTCAACAAATGTGGATTGTGCTTCTGAAATAGGTATATTTAGCACTTTAATGATCCTAAATGAAGATACTGGTGGAATTGGCAGAAAATACTATACTTGAGTTTCTGATACATATTGGTGGAAAAATGTATTTGCCCAGTGACTGTGGGTTCCATCTAGAATTGGGTTCCACTTCTAAATAAAATATTTCAAGACTAGACTGCTTGAAAAACATAGTGTTTGGTCCAGGATACCCCCCTCCCAAAAAAAAAGAAAATAGATACATAAAGAGGACTGTGCATAGCTCAGGTACATGAGAACCAAATCTTGTATCAAAAGTTAGTGGTCATGATGCTATTCTTATAGTCTGAGATTCTCTATGCACTAAATTTTGCTAAATATCTTCCCTTTACTCTAACACCCTTCTTAACGATGATTCTGATGGGTGCTGTATGTCTAGTGCCTACATATTTTGAACTGAAAATTGGGACGCATGTTGTATCAGCCAGCCTGCTAGCAGGAAACAGATGGCAGCCTCACATTAGGATCATTTGTGTAGGGCTTAATAAATGGGCTATTTACAAGGTGTGGGCAGTGTGTGGGGAAACCGCAGGATATAGTGCCATTCCCTGGAGCTAGTAATAGCTTCAACGGTGTGAAGGGAAGGAATGGTTACCAGAACCCAATAGTAAAGAGTCATGTTGTGGGCCACCTTGAGTGGAACAGTGACCTTCAGTTGAGGAACAAAGTTGGCCTAAAATGACCCCACAGGGAGGGAGCTGAGAAAAATAAATACATAGAGCTCATTCTCTTACTTCCCTATGATCTCTTTCCAGCGGTTCTTATTGACCAACCCAACCAGAAATCAGAGGGCAAGAGAGCCCATGGATGTAACCCATACAGATAAGCCTCCCTGGGCAAAGAAAAGAGTGGATAAGGGCAGAGAATGGATGTAGAGAGGCAACTGGAATATATTAAGCACAAATGGTCTGATCAACAGTATGTTACTGGAAACAGTGAGATTATTTGAGATGGGACTGCCAGAGAAATTCTGAGATGAATGTTTGCCAGGCATAAGAACCATGATATGAATTACGAGAGTGAGAAGTTCATCCAATGCCCATGACTTTTAAGCGCAGTGTCTGTACATTTAATTCTTGTGTCCACCATAGTCCCCTCTTAGATTTATGCTAGGCAGAATGTCCATGAACTTTGAATGGCTATAGAGTGAATTCTTGAATGAATGAAAGAATGGCTTATGATATATGTCTAGAGGCAATGTGAACAGCTAAGAGCATCAAAGAGTTGATAGGAGGGATAATAGAATCAGTTAAGCTGCCAATAATATTCAAATATATATCTAAGATGACAGCAACATAAATAAGATAGAAGTTTATTTTTCTCCCATATAAAAGTCTAGATGTAGGCAGTCCAGAGGTGGTATTATGGCTCTGGTTTTGGTCCTTGAAAGCCTTAGGGTATCGGGTTCTTTCAGCTTTCTGCTCTGCCATCTCTGGGTCATGGCCCTCAATCTCATGATTCACTGTGGAATTGTATCATCACAGCCATGTTCCAGGCAGCAAGGATGAAGAGGTTAGGGGGAGAAAAGAGAAGATGCAGTTAGGTGACACTTATATTTTTATCCACATTTAGCTAAAGGGAGGATGAGAAATGAAGTTTTCATCCTGAGTGACCATGTTTCCAGCTAAAAGCTGTAGTTCTAAACATGTAGAGAACTGCTGTTGAAGGACAACCTTGGTCTCTGCCTCAGGAGACCTGAATTATGCTTCCAGCTCTAATACCAAAGTACTCATATGACCTTGAATATTACTTCTCCTATCTGAGGACAAAATTTTCATCTATAAAATTAGAAGGATTGACTTGAATAGGGGTTTTCAAATTATCTTTTGAGGAATCCCTCAGTTAGATAAAACTAATAATTTGAGATCCCTGTCCTACTTCAGACCCTGTGAGAGTCACTGTGGGGATATATAATGAGGTATACAAGTCTTGGTGTACTTCTAGAAATGCATTCTATACCAAAGGAAATAAGACATGTTCAAACAGATATAATATTTTTAAAGTATATAATTAAGTATCCCATGAGTTGTTTAAAGATTTAATGGTCAGCCCAGTGGTGTGGCTCAGTGGTTGAGCATCGACCTATGAACTAGGAGGTCACAGTTCAATCCCTAGTCAGGGACATATGCCTGGGTTGCAGGCTTGATCCCCAGTGTGGGGCGTGCTGGAGGCAGCTGATCAATGATTCTCTCTCATCATTGATATTTGTATCTCTCTCTCCCTTTCCCTTTCCTCTCTGAAATCAATCCTAAATAATAAAAGCATAACATACTAAGTGTCTGACCCACCAGTCGCTATGACCACCAGGGGGGCAGAAGCTCCGACTGGTAGTTTAGCTGCTTCTGGGGTCCAGCCAATCGGGACTGGGCGAGAGGGCTGGACACGTCCTGGAGCCCTCCCATGGCCCCTCTCCGGCTGGCCACCCAGGTTGGCTTGGACTGGGTGAGACGGCCCCGATTGGCCCCAATCGCCGGCCAGGCCGAGGGATGCTTGGACTGGGTGAGACGGCCCCGATTGGCCCCCATCGCCGGCCAGGCCAAGGGACCCCACACATGCACAAATTTGTGCACTGGGCCTCTAGTAAAAATATATTTAAACAAAGAGTCAGTGGTCAGACTAAACATAATGGAAAAGATGGGCTTTAAGCTGAGTCTTGAACGATGTTAGGTTTACTGAATAAAGTAGGGGAGGAGGTTGCCAGAAAACAGGAAGCAGCCTGAATCACTGCATGGTGGTAGTTCTGGAAGATTAGAACAGACAGGAATATTGGGGCCAAACTCTGGAAAGCCTTGTCATATCAAGGAATTGTGGCTATATCCTTTACTCAGATTCAACACATATATAAAGTGCCTGCTGGGTCAGTTGGAAGATTAGAACAGATAGGAATATTGGGGCCAAACTCTGGAAAGCTTGTCATATCAAGGAATTTTGGCTATATCCTTTATTCAGATTCAACACATATATAAAGTGCCTGCTGGGTCAGACTATGACCACCAGGGGGGCAGAAGCTCTGACCGGTAGTTTAGCTTGCTTCTGGGGTCCAGCTGATCGGGACTGAGCGAGAGGGCTGGACACGTCCTGGAGCCCTCCCATGGCCCCTCTCCGGCTGGCCACCCAGGTTGGCTTGGACTGGGTGAGACGGCCCCGATTGGCCCCAATCGCCGGCCAGGCCGAGGGACCCCACACATGCACAAATTTGTGCACTGGGCCTCTAGTAAAAATATATTTAAACAAAGAGTCAGTGGTCAGACTAAACATAATGGAAAAGATGGGCTTTAAGCTGAGTCTTGAACGATGTTAGGTTTACTGAATAAAGTAGGGGAGGAGGTTGCCAGAAAACAGGAAGCAGCCTGAATCACTGCATGGTGGTAGTTGGTTAGAAGTCTGAGTTGATTGGAATAGGGAATTTTCCTATTGGAAGATTAGAACAGATAGGAATATTGGGGCCAAACTCTGGGAAAGTTGTCATATCAAGGAATTTTGGCTATATCCTTTATTCAGATTCAACACATATATAAAGTGCCTGCTGGGTCAGGCACTTTGTACATACTATTTTTCTTATTTCTCACAATAGTTTTATG